GTTTCAATCAGTTTACAAATAGGTATTGTATATCCACTATCTGAAGCCGAAATGCAAACCTCAATCTGGCTTATTCTAGTACAAACAATTCCAATTGGGAGATTAGCTTCTATGAGGAGTGTGGTTATCAAAGTCGTTTTGTAAACAGATAAAACTCCCCGTACTGTATTGTAAATCGTTTTATTGACTAGATCGATATATTTCTTGATTTCGATGCTGATCGGAATATAACTTGCATTTGGGTGTTGTTTGTATAGCCCATCGAACCATATTTCGGAGCCGAAGAGGGCGATGGGGAATATATAGGTAATGATTGCTTTTTATAGATAGGCTGTAGATAGTTTGTAAGCTGTATAAACTATTGATCGGATGTGGGATGTAATACATATAGTTTTTGTAGTATGCGTTTTGATATATTATAGAAATATTAGACATCGATCAAAAAAGATACCAAGCTAGTGTAAGGTCGGTTGTGCTCTGTTGGTGAGTTCTAAAGGGATTGGTGTAATAACTAGGTTCCGATTTATCCTTATAGCCGGATTTGCAATTTTATATTTTCTCGATATATAAAATAGTTCAAACTTTTTTGGAACGAAAAAGACTTTATTCTAATCTTTCTATTATAGGATATATCGAATGGTTTAACGGAGCATACATATATTTGTAAATAGGTTCTTAGATATATAATATATAGCTATATTATTAGTATATCTGAAGCACTGTGCTTTATCTTGATTGAGAAACTTAACAAGATAGAGGGTATACAGAATAGGGGAGAGTAGTGATTCCTGGAGGGTACTGTATACGACCGGGAAATCTTGTATTGTAATTCCCTCAAGCCTTACATGTATATATTTCTCAGTCAGGAATAAATCAACGAGTTGTAAAAGCACTATAAGCCAACCCTGCTTCTTCATACATTATAGGAGCTATCTTTTAAAGAATACATTATAGACACCTTGTATATCCATTATTATTAATATAACCATTTTGCTAACTACTAAAACAAGCTCAGCATTATAGGTAAAGATAGTTGTGAGATCAATACCGGCTTTTTTCGATAGCACTCCGCAATACTGAGGACTGATAATGTTGTATCTCATAGCTGTTTATATAATTTGATTGGCGATATACCTTTTTAGTTCTTTTCCAATACACGATATCAATACAATCGGTTTCCATAATCTTAAGAATATCCTATCCTTTTTATTAACCTTGAGCAGTATAACTACTTCAACAAGTTTCCATTTGTTAGAATAATAGCTAAACCTAAGGCAGATTGCGAAAATCTTATATATTACACTCTTCATACTAGACTAGTATATCTTGAAAAGGCGAACAATTGCCTGATCGATTTCGGATAATATACTCCTGACTTCTATTATATGTTTTTCCACTTCCTTTATAATGATTGTTCTTTTCTATAATAAAATTATTTGGCAGTTCTATTCCTGTAGAGGGTTGTGCTGTAGATTGTTCGATACTTTGAAGTGGTCGAGTACCGTTGTAAAGAGTGTTTCGGCTTTTTTCTTGGTATTAGTGATTTTCTGGTTTTCGATTACCAAAAGAGAGATCTTGAGGCTTGTTTCTGGGATCAGTTTGTATTAGTTTATAACTTTGTATAGTTCCTGATCGTCCTGTACATTGTTCAAGTGCTTAGTTTAATAGGCTTGTTTCAATGCTCACACGACCCTTTATAGGTCCTACTGGGCAGTTGCTATTCTGTCAGCAGTTCCAGTTCTCCTGGTTTGTGTATATGTTCGGTGTGCCTCCTTACACTCGTCGGTCCACCACGGGGACAGAAATGAATTATATTATAACTACTTTCTAGAATATATTATAATACAAAGTAGGTTCGCTATACCTACAGATACTTTCCCGGCTCACTTGTAATAAAGCTATTAGTACTAGACTTCTGTAGAATCTTCTGACTACGTTAAACCACTTATTGTATGATTACCTTCGGAAGTTTCGGCCAGGACCAAAACCATTCCTTCACGCCTCCATTTCTGTTTACTCCTTAAACCTATCTGATACCTCCATTATACCCTCTGTTCTATAATATCCGATTATAGACCAATACACACATCCGTTCTCTCGAACTATATAGACAGTATCGCTGTCGCTGTCATTATATACTACGTCTTGCGGCTAATAACCGTTTTGCATTATCTTGCCGGATCTTTTCTATACAATAAGGCCGACTATATCTTGCAGACTTGCTATTTCAGATTTCTAACTAGGTAGCCCTTTTATAGTGTTTCCAACCTACTAACCAAAGCTTTGCTTGTAAAATCCATTCCCCTAATATATAGTTTGTAGTCGAAAGTAAAGCACTAAAAGCGTGTTGTACATATATATTATAAGATTAGCCTTTATCTGAAATCCTCCACCGCTGTAATACCGATCGAGCATTATCGAATGTGGCTTGCTAAAAGCGTCCTTCCTATATCGAAGCTCCTTTACCGCCATACTGCTCCCACATATTCGAAAATAAAATACTAAAAACATTCCTCCTTCTATTCCATATATACTTCTGCCAGCCTTAATAAACACTATCCTAACCTTTATATACTTCTTACTATTCCCCTTATTATTTGTAAATATCCGATCCGGTATACCCGCAGATCATATATATTATTGGATTGTAAAAACTCTATACACTAATATTCCAAAGGTATTCTATCGATTTTCATTCGTTAAGTTAAGGATATCGGCTCTATTCCCAATACAAGCTTCAGTCAGACTCAGCTATATTATAAAAGCTTCATTATCTGCTATTTCAAAAACTAATTCTATTTTGTAAACGCTCTACCACAATATACTCTAACTCTACTCCTTATACAGATTCGTAAAAACATAGTTCTGCATCAATCCCACTCTTATCTCCCTTTCATCATCGAATAATTTTCATCTCCGTTTTGCTAATAATCCTTTATTCCGAGCATCTTCGCGATCACCCTTTGGTGATCAGTTGCGTATACCTTTATTCCCAATACAGCCTCCAATTAGTATATAACCACCACTCAGCTCCAGTTAACTCTACTTAGCTCTCCGATCGCACAATCGAAGATTCGTAGAATACACCACATACAGGTGAGAGTCATCGTATCCCTAGGGTTATTATATAAAGCAATAATAAATATAAAAAGGGTTATATTGAATCGAGATTGATTGTAATTGTTTTTTGATAAACCTATATTGTATAATCATTTTCCCAGTAATTCTGACTCCAAATTGTGAATTTCTTTTTTTACCCTTTGATGTCATCTAATACACAGAGGCTTAAGTCTATACAAATTATGAGTTTTAATTCTTCAGAAACTTTTTACTTTAAAGCAAAAACCATTTCTCGATCAGACTTGTAACATTGATTGCCTAAATATTTCAATTATATATAGAATATTACAAAAACCTATTTCTCTCCAGCATTTTGAGTTTATCAAACTGAATTGCTACTTTCCCACTCGAAGTTGATTGTAATATAAAGACTATCAAGCTTTTTGAGGAATGAATCGGCGATTATATAGACCAAGTTATTTTATAAAATATCATCAATATCTTTTAATCATTCTTGATATATATATCTTCCGATAAAAAAGACTATATACAAAAGTTTCTTTTTCTCAATATCAAATACAATAGTATTAGACATCCAGCAGATTTGTAATTCTTATTTCCAAGCTAGATATTTGTTTTATTGTATTATTATATTAGTCTTCTCTCCTTTAAAGGTTTTCGAGTTTTTAAAAATTTGTTACCGAGCATCAATAGATGAGTTGAAGATCTGGGCTGGTGTGTTTTGCAGTAATTAGGAAAGCTGGTTTTGTAATACTACATTCAGTTGTATCTGGATTTGTAAGTAGGTTTGTACATCAGCCAGGGCTGTACGCTTGTTACTCAGATCTGCGTCCATCCTAGTCTGTATGTTATGAAGTGACTCCAATGAATTATTAACAACGCTATATAAATAATGTAAATATAATTGTTCGTCCTCAGAAAGGCTAAGCGCTGGATTTCGAAGATCAGGGTCGGAGACGCTTGAAAGTTCACTCACAAGCCATTGCCATTCAGCAAAGACAGTTCGAATACTTGTTCTAAGATTGTTGGATATTTGAACTCCATCTTCTATAAACAACAAACCAGGTGTATCCATCATTTTAAAAACGAAAACGAAACAAGGACAAAGACAAAAACAAGAACAAAGACAAGGGCGAAGACGAAGTCTCTATCAGAATATTGTTATCAAGATCGGATTGCTGTTGACATATAGCAACAGGACCTTTAAGAAGATAGAATATACTATCACAATGCAAGGGATAGGTACTAGATTGAATATATGATATTCTACAAAGAGGTTGAAAGTGGTACGATATAACTTTGCCATATAATGGCAAAGATGACTAAGCATCCACTACGCTAATATACTACGCTAGTGAACCCGTGACACTATGGAAGAGTTACATCCAATGCAGCTAAAATAGGATCCTTCAAGGAAAGACTGGCAGCATACTATGCATTTCCTACAGACCAGGTAGCCACTTGACCACGTACACAGCATGACATGGAGGATAATCGACTTTGCTATCATCCGCACCGGCAGGTGACGCCCAGCGAGAAGACCCATCTGACTATTCTTGATCGTTGAGTTAATCGACCTTGCAAGCAAAGGTGACATGTCAACCAACTATCATCGACCAGTTGCAAGATACGCCAGCTTGTGCATTGAGTCAATGTCATGCCACTACTAGTATAACAGCAGAAACATCCATTCCAACGTATCCCGAATTCTGCCATCGATATGACCCTGGACTATGCCAGCACCTCAAACCCCTCCTTAATATCCCCCCGAGATGCTCATTCATATCCTCACAAGCCTCACAATATCTTTCTATTCTTCCAGCAAAAAATTAGCTTAAATCCTAGAAAAATCCATCCATCCTCCCAAACCATCATCACAAAATTCCATAACGGAAAAAAGAAACTTCAGAACCCCACACTCAAAGCACCGTCAACGATCCCACACCGACCTCAATACCCGCTGCATATGACGATGCCACACGGATATCAACGTGAGTGTTTTTGTTAGGGATGTCAACCTCATACGGCTCTTCCTAAAGATAATTTTGAGGGTATTGATCTCATCATTGTAGTCTTTTTTTATGTGATGCTGGTTTGGTTGGTTGAGAGAAGAGAAAGGGTACTTACGGAGAGTTGGGATATGGATGCGATGTATCGTTTGTGTTTTGAGATTGTTGTTTGCTGGTTTTGTGATGAAGGAGTGACGTGCGAATTGAGCTGCTTTGTTAGTGATGAAAGTGATACCCATTGAGGATGATGAATCGCGACATCTTGTCAATAAGTAGTCAATCTCTCATAACCATTCCATTATTTTTCCTCTGACTTCAATGGTATCTCTTTTTATCATATCCTCATCATTCTCATTCTTTTCAAAAAGGCAAGACACTGTCATCAATACCTAGAATTACGCCGTAATTATGTTGTTCAATATTTGTTTCGTTGTGTTGTGGTGGTGATGTTAATTTTCCAATTCATGCCACAAGATTTTTTTTCTTAGCTTACTAGCTTTCCACGCTAAAACCACTAGCCTCAAGCTTCTAGTCAATTACATAAGTGAGTCCTGCACAGCCAATAATATCGCTTGATCAGAGGATACACATGATTAGAATTTTTGTTGCATGTCTGAAAACAAGAGGTTGCACGAAGAAGAGGAGGGGATCTCGCGACCCGGAGAAAAAGCCGGACAACAAACCCGCAAAAATTAAAGAAATCTAGAGATAGTCTTTTTCAATACTCCATATAAAATTCTATATGTATTATATTATCTTGAAAACTGAAGCATTAGAATCTTTCTTTGAAAAATTATTAATGCATAGAATTCCAATCAAAAGAATTCATATGCTGTTTTGATATTAAATTTTGATTAAGATATAGAATTTTGGTGGACGGCTTTTTCTCCGGGATGTATCAAAAAGCTGGATGTGCAAGAAAGATGCAACAAAAAGATGGATGCGCGTACTTGCGTCGAAAATTCAGATATGCAACAAACGCAATAGTAACACAACCCAAGTGATTTTCACATACATGTATGGCTTTGCCCTACACAATCCTTCGTTGCCCATTTCTTTCCTTCTTCTTTCGAATGATAGATATCAAGGAATCGATATGTATACAATACCTACATACATACATGATGGTACAACACAATACCCATCCATCCACCACTCCAAAAATAGCTAAATAAACAGAACCACACTCCTCCCTAAACACCCACCCACCCACCAAGCTATCCACCACCTCCGAGAATCCCCCACCTCACGAGTCACGCCGTCGATCCAGAATCCAGAATCCAGACTCACCCGTTTATTCATCCCAAACATCCGCTGTTTCAAGTACCTACCTACCTACCGAGCCTACCTAGGATCTAGGTATGAAAGCTTCTCCGTCGTTCCCTTCCCTTCCCGTATGCTCATCCGAACTAAGCTCTGCTCGTCTCATCTGATTGAGTGATGTTGATGTTGATGATCTCATTCGTTGAGTTACCTAGGTACAGCTAGGTAGGTAGCTAGATAGATAGCTGGGTAGATATATCACACTACCAAATATCCCAACATCCGAAAACAAATGATGAAAAAAGGAAAAGAAAACTTTATCTAATCTTCATACATCAATCATCACATCACTTGACATCACACATCCATCACCTCACAACTCTAATCCAGCCTCCAGCCTCCAGAGTCCAGAGTCCAAACCATTACTCTCATCACCAGTCCCCAAGGCCCGAGTACCTACCCAAGTACCTACACCACACCTCCAAAGCCCCCCCACAATTCCCTTTAAAAACTCTATCCCTCTCAAACTCAAGAATCAAGATAGACCGAGATATAAATAAATCACCAAACCACCAAATCACACCACATTACCCCCCATCTCCCCGTCTCCCCCGTCTCCCAGTCTCTCAATCTCCAATTCTCTAATTCTCCAATCAATCTCAGCATCAACTTCAATACCGCATATGAAATACATTATCTAATACCTATATTGTATATCCCTCAGTATACTCTCGATACTAATATCTAGTATCCCGAAGAAATAGAAAAAAAAATACCTACCTAGATAATCTATAGTATACATAGTATATATATACATATATAATAAATATCATATTAATGAATATCTATCTATTTATCTATTTAGTACATTTAGATATTTCGATATTTGAGTATTTGAGTACTATATTATATATCAGAATATCAGAATATCAAGATATAATATATTCAAATATACATATACATATACATATACATATACACACACACCACATATATATATATATAATCAATTAACATATAATCAACAAATTAATTATTACCTCCTACTAGTATATAAGAATAATTTATATTCATATATATATACCTCTATATATACCTCTATACATATACCTACCGATGTACATATATACTACATATATCAAGTAACAAATATTCATTCCTATCTACTCGTACATAGATACCCAGTATATTTCTCTAGATATGGGTTTTTGAAACAGGTTACCTATGATTTGGATTTCTTTAATACTCACCCATACGAGCCATAATACCTACCTAGTACCTAGATATCTCAGATGAAAACAATCAACATCAATATCAACATCAACATTATACCCTGCCTCCCTACACATCACACATTCACAACCTCCATGAAAGAAAATCTCCTTCACACAAATCACAAGGTGCCAATACACTTTCCCCAAGTATCTTAAACATTGCTGTCTGTATGTATGGTCTGTCCTTTATCTAGTAACTAGCAATTAAAGGTTCAGTTTAACCCCATCCGCATCCGCATCCTCCATCATTTTTCCTTCATCTCTCTTCACTTTCAAAATACACAAGGCACTATTTTCCAGTACCTCCAGATCCTATCCAGATCAACGAATTAATATCCTACGATATCTTCAAAAAAAAGAGTGTGTGGTAGATAAAGAACAATCAATGAAAAAGAGACCCAAGAGAATGTGTCGGAGTTTGCCCTAAAAGAAAAACTCCGGGATATAGCCAATCCATGAATATCGACCGACCAATCGAACATCTTTCCCTCCTATCCTGTCCCCTTGAAAAAAAAAGAAAATTCCAGGCCGTAATAAACTCCTCCTCCACCGGGTTTTCCATGACAGTCGAAAGAAACGTAATGTAAAGATTATATGAAATAATCATGAAAGGAATGTAAAGAAAGTTCGTCAAGTGACGAGTGGTTATAAAATATGTACATTGAAATTTTTAAGAGTAGCGTCAAGCCGTAGAATAAAGAGAAGCCTGCCTCATTTATTCTAGATCCATACTGGTCCGATGGTAGGTTTGACTTCGCCAAAAGCACTCATGAATAGTCCTTGTATTTCACTCATGTAGTCTTCGGCTCTGAATTTGAATAATCCTCTTGATATCAACTCTTGTTCTTCCTCATCGACAACAGCCAAAGTTTCCTTGGTGATGCCATATTCCTCAGCAATCTCAGAAACCTGAGCGAGTTCTTTGCCGAAAGGATGTGGTTCAGTGGCAACTGCTTCCTGAACATTTGGTGAGAACATATGCATTGTTGATCGAACAGTGGTAGAGCTCTTTGGTGACGACATTCTTGCAACAGAGTTTTTGCGAGACATGATTTCGTGGTTCTTCTTAGTATGTGAAGGAGCTCTGCTTGGAATACCAGGTGCTTCATCGCCAGATGCAATCTCAATTGATTTTTTGCCAAAGTTGAATGCCGATAGATGATCTCCGGCTGGAGTTATTGGCGAACGAGATTCAATTGACAATGTATCGGCAGAAGTTAGACTTGTTGAGCTAGTCATTCGCGAGGTATCTGACTCTTCTCCGGAATGAGTTGATGCCGTGCTGCTTGATGCGATTCGTTTACTGGCATCCTTTGGGTAGAGATCCGGTGCATTGTATGACAACATATTGGTTGTAGAGAGAAGTTTCAGTCGGGGGCCGAAATCTGTGCACGCTTGATAGTACCATGAGCGAACTTTGGGGTTGCCGGTCGTTGAGCAGTTGGCGAAGGAGCAGCGACATCGAGCTGCTTCTTTGCCCTCCTAGTTGTAAATGCGCGTGCGAGAGACATAATTGCTGATATGGAAGATTCGGAATCTGTCTTCCGGATAAGATCAACTACTTTCTGGAGGTGATATGGTGGGGGTATATATTGGCCCCGGTAAGATATTCCGGATTAGATCTTCCGACGGGTAATCTTTATCAGTGCAGGAGGTTGACTGAGCAAGATTGGTAGTTGATCAGATGTTTCCTGCAGGTGAGCTTCTGGAATCTATCTGGTTGGACGAGAAATCTTTTTTGAAGCTTTGAAAATAAAGAAGCTTTAGTGTTGTCTGTCGCACGACTATGCTCTCTTTTGTAGGAATGACCTTAATTTTGAAGGAATGACTCTGTGACGCAAATCTAAGATCGAGGCGGGCCGATATGGAAAAAGTGACTCCTTAAGGGTAGGTACTGTTGATTTTGATTTGACGTGTTGAAGTGAATATATGTATATGTACTGATAACTTTGATCTGTTGTGATGACCTCGGGATGTGTAATAGCAAAGAAACAGTGAATATGAATCTGATAACACGTCTTTGTCGTGGGATTCCAAAATGAATGTTGGAAGTTGAGAAAGTTATTTCAATATTCCTGAGCGTGTCAAATGATCGAGGTTGCTCGAAAGGGAGGGATCGTGGGATATGTGAATTTCTTGTTTGTCGATAATGAATGTGTCGAACAATCTGTAGATCCAGCAATCAAGGCAAACTTTGAAGGAACGTATACTTCAACACGACTCTTTTTTGTTTAAGAAATAAGATCGAAAGATATCTAATCGATCCTGCGATGAATTTGGTGGTGAAGAGGGGTTGAGCAAAAGAAGGGAAGGGAAGGGAAGAGGAAAGGAATGATTTCCCAGATGACAAGGCCACTTTGGGTAAACGGGAGTTGTCAAATGGTAAAAGGTAAAAAGGTAAAAAAGGCCGAATAGGCCAAAGGATACTAGTAATTCTTTCTTTTGGGTCTTTTCTTTTGACCGAGACCAAGAGACACAAACAAACAAGCATTTACTTAACTTTTTAATGGACGGCTTCACACTCACCAGGATTCCTCATTTTTGCTTTCTTTTTTTGTCACCAGGATTAGGAAACAAAAGAACCAACATGCAATGTCTACGGGTATGTTTCTAAGGGGGGAGAGATGGATGAATTTTTGCGTGCAGATGATTTAAAACCGACTGCAGCATAGTCAAAAGACCCCAAGAGGGAATGTTCCCCTTGTCGAAAGAGATGCCCAAGCTTTCCACCGGGCATTAATTAAGATTGATGGACGATGATGTTGAAAAGGAAACAAATCAGAAATAGAGAAAACGGCATGGAGAATGATACAATGATACAATTGACACTGAGCTATTTCCCCGAGGGCCAAAAAGTAATCCTTCATCGATATCATTGGATGAATGATGGGAAGTATGTTGGAAAGTTTCCCGGAGCTGGAGTTCTCCTTCTGATCAACAGTGAACTCCTTCATCAGGGTAATTCTCCGATATCAAACTATTTGAGCGCTAAAATCATGAGTAATGTCGTGAAAAGAATGTCATCTTCTCTGATGGATTCCATTTGAGTTTTGATTGGCACATGGGGTACGAAATGCACTCGAGATGATTCCAATTGTCTAAAGCCATATCCATATTTATATCCATCTCATCATCTATCGTTCAACTACCGACTAGGTACCGTAATGCATTAATCATTCGCCCAAAGAAGAAATCTAGGCATTCGTCAGATCACAAACCACCATCACCAAACTCCCGTCTTGCAAACGGCCCTGGTCAAGAGGCGTAGCGCAGCCCGCGCAGCTCGCGCAGTTTATTATGTAGCTCCAAGTGGGCCACGCTTTCACTTGACAGGGAACATGTCAGCCGTGATTTGCTCGTTTCAACCATCTGATGTTTTTAACGTTTCAGGTACACGATCCCTCGTGGAGAAGGGGTTTGTCTGACTGCCAGTCATTTGGCATGTGTAGGTGTTAAAGCATGAATTAGCATGAGTATGGCGAGCATGGGATGGATCATGGCATGGCATGGGATGGGATCATTGGCATGGTATGAGATGGCATGGTCAAAGCAATGCGGAACGGAAATGTGGGTTAAGGGAGCTTGTACGATGTGTGAACGTGCGTCGTTTAGGTAGTGTGTGTGAATTGTGTGAATTGTGTGAATTGTGTGAATTGTGTGAATTGTGTGAATTGTGTGAGTTATGTGAGTTATGAATTGGGGATCCGGATGGATTTGTGAAAGGGATGGAAGTAATATGGATGATGAATGAGCAATGAGCAATAAATAGCTTTGGGGGTACATTGTACATTGTACATTGTAGAGTGGGAGTGGGTGTGAATGTGGCAGTGATGATGATGATGATACTCAGGTAGGTATCATGAGGGGATACAGAGTACAGCCAACACATATCCTCATTCAACTTCCTATCTTGTGCCAACAGATACAATCAACCCTTCATCTTGCCATCTACCACTCTTCTTCAGACTCGAGCGGTAGGTACACTACATGATTTGCATTCCCTCTTAGCCATCTAGTATCCAGACCATTCAACAATCAAATCAATAATCAATAATCAATAATCAATACACTACACTACACTACACTACACTACACTACACTACACTACACTACACTACACTACACTACACCACACTATCCTAACCAAGTGTAACATTCGTGAACGGAATACAAGCCTCTTCACACCAGAAGGAATCGCTGAAGGAAGAGGCAAAAAGGATTCAATTGTCTAGACTCTATCGTAGACCAATCTGATACCATGTACCTACGCGAGCTTCGATAACAAGTACGACCTAGGACATCCATGGTACGGTAGATGCCTTTCGCCCATTACTTCAGCGGCCAAGGTCAAATCGAATCCTCCAAACGATTCTATTCTATCTATCCGATCCTGTCTTCTAGTCTAGTCTAACACCACCAAAAATCTAGACACCCAAATAGATAATAAATGCAAAGCCTTATTATTATTTATATCTATTACACTATCTACCTAGTACCTATCTACTAAATACCCAAGTATTAAATATTAATCATAATAAACCCATTCATCCATTCATCCCGTCTACAAAACTCCAGCTTGTCAATATCTCGACTCTCCAACCCGTCTTCCATCTCATCCATAGTGCACACCTATTTAGTATCTACAAAGTAAAGTATCCATCCCGCTCCAACATTCTTCTCTTTTCCCTTTTCTCTTTCATCTCGTGCGTGTCGATCCGATCTCGAAGAAAAACATCTTTTCACTTCTCGATTCTAGAACTAACTTGTCGATTATCAATTAATCCTCTCACCCAAGTTGACTCAATACAAAATGCACTTACTCATATGGTAGTTCACTTAGTTTCACACTATCCATCCTCCTCTCTCAACTTACACACCAAGTACACACAACAAAACAAGCAAATCTATAAATACATCTCGACCCTTCTAAACGCTATTAACGCAACGCGTATCGCTCACATTTTACCTACTAGGTATTTTCTTTCTCTCTTTCTCTCTCTCTCTCTCTCCTCCGCGCCAATATTTCAAGAAACTCGAAACTCGAAACTCACATCAATGCTCCTCCAGTGGTTCATCCCATCCCATTCTAGACATCCACCCCATCCTAAACCCGTTTCGAGCACTCCCACACCCTCTGTCTCTACCTAACCTATCCATATCTCCAACTCCGGATCCGAATTTTGTACTTCGCTTCATGTCATGTCATCTCATATCATCTCATGTCATCTCATACCATACCCAACAACCTACAAACTCTCATTCCTGACGTGAAAATGTGCGCGCGGCTGCATTGGTTTGGTTTGATTTATCTCCTCGCATGACGAGAAGTTTCTTTCTTCTTCCTTCTTTCTTACCTATTTCTTACTTACTTACAACATACGCTGTGTGCCTTCGGGTTTACACATCACTTGCCACCTACTTACGAAGTACATACCTACTTATCGTATGCAGTGCCTACCTACCAACGTTTGACCATTGCACACTGCGTATGTTGTGCAAGCTATCTTCGCTCATTTCATTTTCATACATTTCATTCATCTCATCCTATCCATAAATTTCCATTTCCATTTCCATTTCCTATGCACCTCTCCCTCATCATAAATCACCCATCATGCAATGAATTCATCATAGACCCCTAAATTACCTACCTTACCTACCTACCTAGAGATTCCACCATCCATTTTACTCTATACTTCTCCATAACTCTTCATCTATATCTCCTCTCCCCAGCATAAACCCCTTCCCCCCGAAAACCACTTCCATCCCATCCATCAATTCACAAACCACAACACCCTGCACCCTACCCTACTAACCCACACTCACCACACTCACCCTCACTCCCAGCAAACAAAAGCAACCCCCGAAAATACCCCCCCAAAAAAAACATAACAAAAAAAAACCTTCATCTAAAACTCAACATCCCCAGTTTCCACTCAATCTACAGTATCCGCCTTATACTCAGTCCTTCCTTCCTTCCTTCCTTCCTTCCTGACAAAATGAATTGAAACGAGATGAGATGCGATGCGATGAGATGAGATGAATGCAAGACATATCCGACAAGGCATACATACCTAGGTACCTACATATATCATAAACAACATCCTGGAAATTTCGTTTCGTCTCGTCTCGTCTCGTCTCTTGCCTAGCTAGGTACTTACATATTACTATACCGTGTGTACGTACCCACAAATCCAAAGTGAGTAATTCGGGCGAAGAAAAAAAAAAAGGTGGCATCTTCATCTCAAATTAGCATTCATGTGTAATGTAAAATTCCGGATGAACCATGGGGGAGGGATCTGCATTTGCCGAGTCAAATAGATTGCAACTTCATATATGTGAAAAGATTGCCGAAAGTTATTATTTTGAATTTGGTATTTGGTATTTGGTATTGAAATTTTAGTTTTAGGTCTTCTGAATCAAAAAGACATCATTTGCTTGATTAATCATCTTCATCCATAGACTCAACTTCACCTCCCTCTGCCTCTGAAAGCTCTTCATCATCATCTTCCGA